AAATTTCCCCCCAGTGATATCAACCCCACCAGAACAATGCAGTTTTCTCACGCCCATACCACACGTTCCATCTATCCCATTTTCGTGACCGAATGTCTTCTTTTTTTTGGTTGATACACTATTTATAACATTGTTACAGTCCCAATCAAGCTAATCCGTAGTTAGCCCGGAGAACATGGCACAGAAAACGTATAGTCCAGAGCAAGTGGCNTTACTGAATGAAACATGAACCTCGAAGGTGTGACCCATGTCCTCACAGCACTCATCCATTCATACGCAAACACTATCCCCGAATGCTGAACATGATTTCATTTGTAAACACGAACAACAATCAGGCCGTCCACATGTACCCCTTATTTACACATTGGTACTCTAGCTGTAATGATAGACATTTGACCCACCGTTATAAATTTATCGTGCGACTGACTACGAGCTTGCTGATGTAGAGGGCAGATCTTGACGAAGGAACGTGCAAGTCGTCGGAGGTCAAGATCAACGAGTGTGGCGAAGGTTGAACAGTTTGTAGTTAAAAGCACTGACAGCAGGGACTAGGTAGGTAGATAGGTAGACACGAATCGGTGACCGGCGCCAACCCTTTGACTCAGACGAGCGCAGAAAGGATTTTGGCGACCAGTGTATTTCGCGTTGATTTTTGAAAATCCTTTCTAACCCATATTGATTACATTTGACTTAACTCGGTTCTTGCGTTTCTTGTTTAGTGACGTATTCTCACTCACACAGATAACCACAAAATTATTTATCTATTGACTCGATACCAGCCACATTTCAATTTGCCATGGATAGAAAACGTGATCGACCTGTTGGCTCTTTTCGGACATCCTATTTGGTTCTCGATTGCTTGAGTGCTTTTGGCCGCATAATTGAGGTTTGCTTTATGGTACATTTTGTAATGATTTCTCTAATTCAGTACCCAGTTTTGACGCTGAAGCATCTGACGTAGCTCGTGATCAAACCAGAGGGCCATGGCGTGTGACCGGAAGCGTTTAGAAGGAGAGAAGGCTGCCACCAATTCGATAATGCCGTCTCGAAAGGTAGTCCCGGCGAAGTCTACTCCCTAAGGGCAGATGGTCATTCGGGGTAGGGACTGCGCTGCGATCCTCATGCCATTATATTGCGCTTTCCAGACATTGAGTGCGGAATGTGGTCGAAAGCGATTCGGAGCTCCATATCGTCAATGCACCAACGGCGTCGAATGATCGCTCGAACCGAGTGGCAGGAGGTGGTCGATGACGTCGACGTCCAATGTTCGAGAGAATAACACCAGATCTAGGACTGCCTGGGCAGAATCGTGGATCCTAGTGGGCTCGTGGGAGTGCTGATGCAGGGTCAACTGGTTCACAACTGCGAGGGGGCCTCTGGAGAGTCGGTCCGCTCCCGGAGGGAATCGATTTTCGTTCCAATCGATTAGGGGTACATTGAAATCACCCAGAATTAAACAGTGACCGTCACCAGTCCATCGACGCATATCGTCCAGGATGGCCACTGGGGCTGTCACTGGCGGTCTGTAGCAGACTCCGCTCGTCATGTAGCCGTTGCAGCACAGTTCGGTTTTGTGCCATAACACTTTTCCCTAACCGTCGGGATCCGAATAACTATGGAGGTGAGTAACCGGCACACTTTCTGAATGAACAGCATAACGCCCCCCACTCATCTTCGGTTGTACTCGATCCGAACGGACTAACGCATACCCCGGGAGAGAGACCTTAGAGTCAAGAACGTCTTGGGTGAGCCAGGTTTTGATTACCACCGAGGAGTCTCCATAACAAACGCCTCCTACTCATCTCGTTTGTTCAAAATCTATGCACATTGACGGACACAATGCAGGCGCAACTGCGCCTGTCGATGGCAGCCGCCGGTGCATCCTTCCAGTTTACACCGGGGGAGACTCTTTGTTTGGTATTGCAAGAGGGCTCCACTGGAAATGTGGGCGCCTCCTCTGGACCCGAAAATTTCGGATGACGAGATCGTATTCACCGTTGGCCTTACGCTCGTGAATCTCGGCTAATGCCTGATTTGGTTTCTTCCGTTCGTCTGCGTCGAGGTCGAGTAGTAGCTTGACGAACTCTCCTTTCAGGCGGGAGGCGTGCTGGAATACAGACTTGGTTTCCTCCATCGATCCGAGAACGCTCTTTGGTGGACGGCGGATGCCGCGCTCCCACTGGGCGCCCAGCCTGAAAGGGGCCTTAACTCGTCTCGCCTGAGCCCGGTCTAGGTCTAGTGTAGGTGTTGCACGACGTAGCTGGTAGCGCCGGCGGTGTCGGAATCAGCGCCGCGGCAGTAATCGCTGGGGATCCAGGCTCTCACTATAGGTCGGTCACGCATTATTGGTTGCACACCTGCGTCTCGGTCGTCTCTGCTCACCGGTGGTATCAGTTGGTGGGGCCTCGGCTGATGCGGACTGCTGCGTACAATCCTTCAGTCCACTTGCGGTAGATAAGGGCTGCACTCCTACGTCGATACTCGGTGTGCGAAATGTAGGGAGACAATCACCACATAAAAACTTCAAATTCGGGGAGTCGCACGACTGGAGGGCTGTATACATGTCTGACGGTACGCTAGTCCATGTAACATGAAGCAAACATTAACACAAATCACATAATAGGGCCTTCGCACGAGGGCCGACGATCTTGTTGCACTTTGAGCACGGGTATAGTCTCTTCGTATCCTTGCTGAACATGATTGCATAGTAAAACCACCGGGGGAAGTACACAAAACACTGAAATTTATATTC